AAATGTTTTGACCCCTAAAACTTTTTAAACCTTCAAAACTAAATTCTAATACAACATAATTAATCCAAACATAAATCATATAATAAAAAACTAGCTTTGCAAAAATTTTGAAAATGTACCATTTTTGAAAAATGACATTTAAAAAGTGGTATTTTTAAAAATTTCTCAAAATAATAAAATTGTTTCAAACCATTTTTTTTTTTTGAAAATCTTGGTTGTTTTAAACCTTCGTTATTGTTTTGGAAACAAAATCAGCCAAATTTTACCAACAATCAATTACCGTACTAAAAACTAAACTATCAGATATAGCCGTTAATTACTCCCTTTGTTTTTTAAAAATTGTTATTTTTAACCATATTTACGTAAATTAAGAAACAAAGTTAAAACAAAATAACAAAATGCTCGGCATCTCTTCATCTTCTAATTAAATGAGTCAACAATCACTCATAAATAATAAATGTCATTTTAACTAGCAGATTTCTCTACGATAGATACAAAGATCTGGAAGTAAAAAAAAATCAATTGTTTATTAACTTAAAATTACAATAGAAAAAATTGGAGCCAACTGAAGAGACAAACAAACAAAAATTTTAATTATTTAAAAGTTTACAATTTAGATCATCTATGATTCCATAAAAATCTTTATATCTTTTTCTTTCTATTTGGATATACTCTATCAACCATCTATGAATTACAAGTTGTGCCACTTTCTAGAAAATTGGGATTGAGATTACGAGAACACCAATTTAATTGGACTCTTGAAAATTTTAATTGTTTTTATTTAAAATTATTTGATCATTTTAATTGAGGTTAAAAATAGAATAATTTAACAAAAAATACATTCAAAATCTAAAAAAACATTCTTTTTGTAACAAAAAAATTATGTCAAAATGACACTTTTTAAAAAACTGAGAGAGTATATTTTACGACTATAATATGTTTTATGGTCCATTTTATTATAGTTATTATAACTATAATATGATACTAGTAAAAAATACAAGGGTAATTGCAAAAATACCACTTAAGAGTGTCTATTTGCAAAAATACCACTAATTATAGATTTTTAAAGGCTAAATCTTAAAATACAATAAATGTTTTGACCCTAAAACCCTTTAAACTCTCAAAATTAAATCCTAATACAATATAGTTAACCCAAACATAAATGATATAATGATTTTTTTTTGAAAATATAACATTTTTGAAAACTGGCATTTGAAAATTGGCATTTCTTAAAATTTCTCATTATATTTTGAGTAAATGATATAATATCAGTGACCTTTTTTAAAAAAAAAATTCAAAAATGTTATTATATTTTGAATAAATAATATAATATCAGTGAAATTTAAAAAGAAAAAAAAATCAAAAATGTGACATTTTAAAAAATTGGTATTTTTCAAAATTTCTCAAAATATTATAGTTTTTTTTATCAACAAAAATTTTATTATTAGATTAGTTTTACTAGTGGAAGTAATTTTGGTTAACTGGTTGCCTCTAGATTTTCCATATAATGTCAATTATACATATAAATGAAGATGAATTATCGGAACTCTCTAGTGTGGTGCACGAAAATTATTCAACATGGTCATTTTTGTTAAGAATAAAGGTGTCCATCGCAAACGTGAAATACATAGAACTCTATATCGTGAATTTTTGTAGAGAGAGTAAAATTGTTTGTTCTAGAATCGCTGGTTCTTGTGTTTTCAATTGCTGTAGAGGAAGCTCAAAATGTAGTTTTCAGATAGAAAATTCATGACACAATTTTCGCATAGGAAGCTTATAAGTTCAATATTATAGGAAGTTTTAGGTATAATAAGGAGATAAAAACATACCAGATTCTTTTCATGTGTCATATGGTGCCGTTGTGATTTAATGCATATGTGTGCCGCTAATTAAAAGTTAAGTGTCCTTTTGGTTTTATCGGTGAAAATTTAGGAGATAATCTTTATAAAATAAAGAAAACTAAATTTTTTTTTGGGAT